AGGGGAGGCAAAAAAAAAAAAAAAAAAAAAAAAAAAACAACCAAAACCAGAACTTTCCTGGGATGACCCACACATGCAACGGGATCGTCTCTGGCCTGTACCCCAGTTCTGTATGCACAAATAAAAAAAAAAAAAAAAAAAAAAAAAGGAAGGAATTCCGAGCCTTGAATTATTCACTCACGTACAGTATTGGTAAAAACCCTTCTTTACAAGGAAACCCAGAACACTCAAAGTTACATCTGTAGCTTGCGGTTAAGCGTGGAAGGACAGGAATCAGTTCTACCCAAAACGATTAACGAGCGTTTTAAGTCTGTAAGACGGCACGTTCTGTTGTACTATTTAACTTGCCACCTCCCATTCCTCTTGGCGAGAAGTTATAGTACGTTTTTTTGTTACCTAGGACTGTAAAAATTTTGTTATAGAGTATTTCATTTACTGTAACAACTATGTCCCCCAAATGGTATGGTTACTGTTTTACAGGTGAATTAATGAAGACAGAGAGGTTAAGTAAGTTGCTTAAGGTCACACAGCTAATAAAAGGTGAAACTCAAATGAATTCTAGGCCCTGCAATCTAAATTAACTGTGACAGTATATGGATAGCTTAAGGGGTTTCTAAAGGGTGGTGGCAAGAAGTGGAAGTAAAAAAAAAAAAAGAAAAGAAAAGAAAGATTTCCCTTCAGTCTAATATTCCTTGATAGTTTCTTAAGACCCATTTAGGAGATGAAGGAATGGAACTTGGGAGTTAAGGGTCTGAATCTGCTTGCTTTTCTTCCTTTTGGATTGGATGCCTTGCAAAAAGGTACCAGCAATATTGGCCCTTATCCTCTTAAATGTCATGACAGCGTGCTGTAGAGATGATTCTGATTCCAGCAAAATGAGAAAGGGTATGCACATGTGTGTTGGTGCAGTCAGGAGCAGAATGGAGCGGGGTTGATACAGAGAAATTAGTTTGATAATATAAGCCATCAAAAAGACCAATTGTTCTTGGACTATGGACCCTATCCCTGGAGCCGAGGAGAACGCAGACAATTAGAACATCTATGTATTCAACAAGACTGAGCCATAAAGGGGTGGAGGGGGGTGGGAAGGGAAGGAGGGAAAGAGAAATCAAACTCGGAATTTCAGTGGATGTAGAAGGAACACCACATAATTCTAACAGGCAAGACTGAAACAGCAACCTCTCAAGGATGACAAAACCAAATGAGTTTAAGAATATCGCTGTGACTTAGGTTTCTAGATCATTTTGAAATAATGATAGTCTTTTAAAAAAAAAATGGGAGGTTATTGGGAGGTGTTGCAACCTCACTCTCAGACCGGAGGCCATGGGGGAAGAGATAAAAACCAAACGAGATGGGAGCATCCTTGAGAAACTTGGCATCCTAGAAATGAATCTCTGAAGAGTTTGGCTCTCTGGTTTTCTTCTCAGTCCACTTTCTGGGTCTTGATGAGGTGGGGGGCGGGCAAGACAGGACAATTCTGGGGCTACTCCTGCTGGGGGAAGGCATCTTAAATGCTCCTTGGCGCCTTGGCGTTTGATGTCCCCCTGGTACATCAAGCGTATGCAAAACAGCTAGTTTCTACGTGGACCTGGGCCACGGAGTGGTGTCACCAACATAGCAGCGCGTTTGCCGGGACCCTATTGTCGCTGGCAAACGGAAAATGAAATATAAGCAGGGAAGTATTTTAATGGGGACGGAGGGAATTCACAACTGTTAATTATTTGGTGACCTTGTATTCGATTTGTTTGAGTCCCTTATAAAAACACTAATGCAGACCAGACGGCCAAGTGAGGAAGCCGGCAGAAGGTTCCAATCTAGGCTTTATTTCCCCGGAAAGAGGGAACAGCCTTGGAAAAGGATTGCTGAGCTTTCAAGTGTGTGCGTGTGAGGGCGCGTCCGCTTAAGAGCCAGCGCGGGGTTTGCTTTGCCTTCCAGGTTCAGGATCCTCCTCCATTCTCCGACCGGGTGAACTGGAAGATCCTGGAAAAAGCCCGGGGGTAAGGGAAGGAAGCCTTAAACTAGAAGTTTGT